AAACATGTATGGGTCTATTTCACCCATGAGTCCCTTCTGACTCCCTGAGTCCCTTCAAAATCCTTTGGTATCTTCCAACCAGTATGGGTCTATTTCACCCCTATAGTTAAGCATACAGTCATACTAGGAAAAGTCACGAATACAGCAAGCACAAACAGAATTATCATTAAGTGTCACAAAGATCACTATTATTCTACAACATAATCTAGTGAGTCGAAATTGGTGTCTTCAACCCACAAGTACAGCGAGGAGACTCATATCAGTCTGAAGATAGGCAAATCACACTCTCGGGCTACTGGTACCACGTCCTTACACCGAACATATCTAAATTAACCTTAATAAATAGTCAGTGTAAAAACCCATAATAGATGATCCAGATTATCATTTTTCATGCTAAAGGTAAAAGACCAATTTACCGTTCTCTCAATTTCCCCAATTTAACCATGGCCCAAGTCCCTAAAGATCCAAAGCCCAAGAATAACCCAAAAACCTAAGGCCCATAATTGGCCCAAAAGGCCTTCTAGTGACTACGCCATGCGTACCACCATTACGCTCTGCGTACAACCATTAATAGCAAAGGAAAAACAGGTGTTGAACGCCTTATGTTGAGCGTATGCATACATATGCCCAACATACTCCCCCGATGACCAAAACTCACACTAAGCACTTAATGTCTTAAGTCCAAACATCTAAATCACAGATCTTGCTATAGGGAATCGTTAAAAAGGCATTGGCCTGATGACTTTGTATGGCTCAAAAAGTCCCAACACCTATTTCTAACATTCTAACTTCATATTATGTCCATCAACTCATGCATGTTTGAGCTAAATCCGTCAAGATGTTATTTTTATGCATTGGGGACCTCAAAAACATCAAGATCCACTATCCTAAGCTTCTGGAGTAGCTTATACTCACATGAATCAACCCAAGGGACCAAGATATGCCAAAAACCCTAAACTAGCTAGTCGTAAGAGATTAATCAACAAGGTTAATACTTTATACCTCCAAAAGAATGATCAAGGTGAGCAAGGGCTAGATTTACGAGTTTCATGTCAACAAGTTCTTCTCCAAACGGTTCTTTTTTCTTCAAGATGCACCAAAACACACAAGAGGCTCAATATTATCTGAAAAGAGGTTAGGGTTTCGCGGGAACTGATTTAGGATGAAGAGGCTGGTGATAGAAGAGGTCTTGAGGTTATAAAGGGCTTAAATAGCGTCCAAACCCTAAATTTTAGGGTTTGCCCATAACTCGAGTACACCCTACGTACTTTAGGTATGCCCAGCGTACCAGGGGGGAGACCTTATGCCCAAGACTCGACAAGGTACGTCCTGCTTACCTTAAATACTCCCAACTTAATTAACATAAATTCAAAATAATTAAACACTTAAAATTTAAGGAATTTACCTAGGAACTGAGCATTACAATTCTCCCTCACTTGAATTAGACTTCGTCCGTGAAGTTCGCTTCCGTAAATAACTTTGGATAGGGCTTTCTTATCTCCTCCTCAGGCTCCCATGTCCATTCTGAACCCCTTTGGAGCTACCATTGCACTTTCATTAGATCCACAACCTTGTTTCGCAAATTCTTTGTCTTCTTGTCTAGGATCGCAAACGATCTCTCTATGTAATTTAGGCGCTCATCCACCTAAATATCCTCTAAAGGAACCACTACAGAATCATCAACCAAGCACTTCTGCAACTGAGAGACGTGAAAAGTGCTATGAATTTGACTGAGATCCTTGGGTAGCTCCAAACGATAAGCAACCCTGCCCACCCGCACAATATCTCTAAAATGACTGATATATATAAGGCCTAACTTTCCCTGCTTCTCTGAATCGGATGACATCTTTCCAAGATGCCACCTTCAAGAGTGCCTATCCCCAACTTGAAATTCCAAATGTGATCAGCGTCTATCAGCATAGCTTTTTGTCGACTCTATACGGTCTGCAATATCCCGCATACCTACTGGATCAACTCAGTAGTCCTGAGCACCACCTCCGTTGTGACATCCCTATTTTCACGGCCAGAAAAGACTGATTTTGTTTATGCTTTATAAAAATCAAAGTACCTCTTTCAATAAAAATGTTGCAGAATTTGTTGCCAGTAAAACATGATAAATACGTTATCAAGGCATTTCCGAAGAAAAGTATTTTTAATTTGTTTTAAAACATTTGGGATGTCATCGTCAATGCAGAAACATAAGCATAAACAGAACTTACATTTATTTACACTAGTGATCTACATCTCTTTAATCTCTCAGTGTAATGTGACTTCATCTCAACACCTGTAATATAAATAAACTGAGTGGGTCAGGTTAGGAAACCTGGTGAGTATATAAGGTTTTCAACCCACAATAATATAATTATTATG